TACATGTTATCACTCGACAAAGTTATATTTAATTTTACATGTTTCATTTTGGATATGATCAATCCAAATTTAAGAAGTGTGGGGGTGGAGTACAAATGGCAACATGCTGCCAGCTAGAGATCTGACCGACCTAAATGTCAACTCACAGATTCCTGATTGTCAGATCAAATGGAACCCATCGACATCTAAGTATAAATTATGTCAAAAAATAAATTTTTAAAAAACTTCATTGAGTGGCAAGCAGTATTACATACGTCATTGTAATTGCATTGTAATTTTTGAACACGTTCCTAATGAAAAGATATGGTTGGCAATGGGCCTAATGATTAGCATGTTGAGACTTCGGATCACAAAGTGGTCTGGTTTTAGGTGCTTGCCATTACATTCATTTGTGTTGTGTTTGTTGGACAAGAAACTTTTACTCTCAGCAGTGCCTCTCTCTAACTCAATGGCAAACTGTCAGCCAGGGCAACCTGCTCAAAATACTGGGGGGGGGGGGTGGGGGGTGGGGGGGATAACCTGTGATGGACTAGCATCCCTTGTCCCTTGGACTTGTCACTAACTGAAACTGGGAAAAGCTCTGGCTGGCCAAGTACATACTTTTTCACTAACCGAATGGTGAGCTTGCTTAGACACAAATGACTGTAAAGGCTGGTGTGACTTCTTTTCAGTTTTCTTGTGTTTTTTTCTTGATGTTTATTTCTTGTACATGTACATGTAGTTTCAAAACTGATAACATAATTTTATCATTATTATAACAGTCTACATAAGACGTTTTGGCATTTGCTTGATCTTGTCATTACTGTTGTTTGTTTTGGGCTAAGTGTGAACCTGACTCACTGTTATTGTTATTATTATTATAACCAGGTTTATAATAAAATATTTCAGAAACATCAAATAAAATGAGATAACTTTTTTAAACCATTGTAGTCAAAAGACATCCAGGAATCACTGAGTTATTTCACCATCAGATGTCAAACTGTCTTCTCAATGGCCGTGACTGGCCAGTACCCCCTCAAAGCAACAACACCTCCATCGACGGCAGCGTAAACGATACAGCTGCAACACGTGACGTTTCAGGTTAGAACAATACACGGACTACCAACCAATAGATAAAACACCGGTATACGAACAGCAAAAGCTAATAGCAGCCTCAGTCGAATGAACCACGACACAAATTTAAGCAACCTAATAACGGTCATGGAAGTGGAAGCGGAACGTCGGCACAAGAAGTCGCCTCTGTGTGTCTAATGTTGATTGATATGTACAATGCGACCTTGCACTTGGTGCTAGCTAACCCACGTGCATTGCTGAGCATGGGTTGTAAGATGACAGACAATCTTACACAGTGATTTGCAAGAATAGGCTTATATACTTAGGAGCTGCAAAATGTTCACAGAGGCATTTAGGAAGCCTTGCAAGCAGTTGGAACATTCAGCTGTGAGGAAAGAAGATTATTTTGGCCAGTCAGTGAGTATTGTGAATACTAAGTTGGTTCAGTGAGTGATGTGTACATGTAAGAGTGTCGACTAGCGCAAAAGTGCACCATAAGACGGGGACGAGATCTTTTGTATCAACCGATTTCAACGACGTGTCTGTGTCACTCACAAAGAGAGCATCAAGTAGCAAGCTCTTAAGAGAAACTGTTCTGATGATTGGCAGCATACATTTCCCTGAGAGCTTGATGGTTAACTAGTGGATGCAAGCCAATAATATTAAGAAGAACTACAATACTTTAATTCCCAAGGTAGTAAACTGTAGCATTATTAATGAAGATTACACTTTATGGCTTTATCCACTTGTGAGATAAGTGTAATTCTCCTTAAATATGTCTTGCATAATTTCCTCTAGATCTTCCGCATTTGTGTACTTGATAACATTTTTAAGAAACTTTAGTGATAGGGTTAACCCAATTAAGTAAAAGGAACTGTATAGAATATCTTTGACAATCAGTATTTTATGACATCGTGGAACATTAGCCTACAGTGAAATTTGAAGTACAGAATGCAGTTGAAAAAAAAAAAAAAGCCCCTCTCATGAGCAGACACTCTCGTAAGCGGACATTTCTACTTACGGCGTGCCTTGACAAAACCCTTGTTTGAAACTCTAGCTCATACATAATTCTTTATTAATTTTAAACATTCCTGTAAGCGGCCAGCTCCAGTTGCTTCCCAAGGGTGTGCCGCTACATGGGAGCTTCGACTGTACCAGAATACAGGACGAGAAGGATAACAAAGGACAATGAATCCAACAGAAATTTCCTCAAGTCTCGTAATTGTTGAACATAGGTTGTACTCTGAGAACCATCAAATGTCTCTCATCTAGAAGCCGTCAGGTGTCACATTCAAAATTTCATTTCACGCGGACGAACTATCAAAACGAACCACCCCCCCCACCCCCCCCCCCCCCCCCACACCCCACCCCAGAGTAGGTTTTACCATTATCTGAAGAAAATATTATTGTAAGCTGGTGTAGTTAATTAAACAATATTATTTTTATTCTAAGAAACTGGTTTTCAAGAGCAATTTCTCACAAGCATTTTTTCTTGCTTTCCTGTTTATTTTATACGTGCTTTTATTATTGATTTGAAATCAATAATAATTATATTATTGATTGAAATCAATAATGAATTGACTTATTTTGTAAGATACAATTTTATTAGTGCGTAGTAGTGTAAGAGTTGATTTCATGACTCAGCAACATAAAACTTTTTAAGTGCTTGTAATATAACAGCCCAAAACAGCGGAAACAATTTATGGTTTTTCATGGAAGTTGGAAGTTTCATTATCTCTTTGATGTAGACACTTGTGAATATTCAATATGATAATATCCTTCGATCCCCAACAACTATCATCTCCCTAACTCTCCCTTTCGAATAGATAAACCGTAAAAATTCTGATAATAATCCCTGGGCTTCTTTTGGTTCAAAACCCTTTTTTGGTGGCCTATTTCCAGCGTGGTACGTTCACGTAAAGAATAACTTGCCCAAATACTTAAGGTAGCTACATCCACACGGATGGCGCATCTTGATAAAGATATTTGCGGCCGAAGTTTGTTCAAGTTCCGTCCATATCGCAATCAAATTTCAATCTTCCCCAATCTTAACCATCCTTGTTCCTTTTCTGTTTATTATTACTTCTTGGGCTGTTTTTCTAACCTTAGTAAAACTATATATTTGTGAGGGTTTCCCTTGCAATTCGACAAGTACTTTTGTTCATCAGAAAAATGGGTTAAGAATGTTGTGACATAGCTCCCTTTAACTCTACTTGTCATCAAATAAATAAACATTCCCCAAAATTCTCTGACGACACTATTGATGACCATAAAATACAAAACTACAGTACAGGGGCTTAAAATAACTTGGAAGAAATTTGTTCTTTCAAATAGCGAAGCCCATGGTCCTATATTCAGATGCGAGAGGGCTCGTATTATCGGAGTCATAGAATTTCTTGCACCGTAGGGATATTTGGTGGGGGGGGGCGGAGGGTGGGGGGGTTGGGGGGTTTGGGGGCCTTATCACAGAATTTATACACCGACACTGGAAAGGGCGTTATTGTTAAAATCACTTTCAAATTTGAGCTTTAAACAGGCAGTCACACTATGGGTGGGCTTAAGAGAATCTTAAGTTATTTATTTTAGTGTTTTCCATAAACTACAGGTAATATCAAAAAAATAATAATGAACTACCCAAAGTTATTCTTTGTTTTATGTGCAAGACCAGATACAATGACATTTTAAGAATTCTCAGTTTTTACTTCATTTTTGGGTGCCGATTATTCAGAGTAAGAGAATTTACCAAGACCTTATAAATTTAAAATCCTTTTTGAATAGTTCATACTTGTTTATGCAAGAAAAATAGTTAAATATGTTTTGATATAGTGTGCCACAAAATAAAGTGAATGAGTAAGTAAGGCGACGTTTGGCAGAATCATTAGTTTACCTTTTCTCAAGGCTGTTGTCCAATAATTTTTTCTGAGAGAAATAGGAAAAGTGAGAGTTTTTGCATGTTGTACATGGCCGGCAAGTGTATTCTTTTTACACAAAAGATTTTCAGATCAATTAGAAAGTCCACACTCCAGGTGGGTACTCCGATGATAAAAAGTGATAGCGGATGTTGCGAAGTGATTAAAATTTGGGTATGAGAATTGGAGAGATATTTTGTGGGGGTGCCGTAAATATGTCTTCCCAGAGGACGGTTTCTTCATAAAGCTAAACCAGGTTTAGGACGTGAATTATGACTTGGTTGTTTATATTGTTTTGTCCTTCAGTTTTGAAGTAATCTGCAAACTCTTCGAATTGAAAACCCTTGGTTAACTTTTAATATCCAGGATTAGCCGTTAATCAGCTTTGATCCGAAACAATACTGGACGTCCAGTATTTTGGGGGAGAGTCCTTCATCCTAGGGGGGGGGGGGGGGGGGGGGGGGGGATTAAATCACACCTTCATAAATTAAGAACTTCCCCATCTCTTTTTGACCTTGAGTATCTTCCTGGGAACCACAGTCTGCAGGATAGTATTCTTTACATGCATAACAATAACAGTTTAAATTTTAAACCTTTGAAACCGAGCAGTGATCAGCAGCCTAATAAAATTTCTTCTAAAAAATACACTACAATGCAAGATGTGCAGGTCACAAAAATACAGAAACTAATCACCTAAAAAATTATCCCAACTATGGGTACTTCTATAAGAATGCGTGGTATGTTATGCATTGACAAGTAATTTTAAAAAATTTAGAATGAAGTTTACTTCTGAATAAAATTAGATGGAAAATGATGGACTTGTTGTCATCGTGTGAAACTGTACCTTTCTTTTATTATGAGTTAACACGTGGAAAACTAATGAGATTTTTGCAGTTATATATCAACTTGAGCAGTTACAAAGGAAGTCTGCAAAAATTCACCTCTCTTGTTTTGGGATTCGCACGATGAGTAGAAAGTCACTAGGCCACGATCGTGCTCATTGGGCGAATCCCAAAACAAGAGAGCCTGCTCGCAGGCTAGGCTAAATGGGATTTGAACCCATGACCTTTGTGATTCTTGTTCAATGCTCTTCCACTGAACTATGAAGCCACTGGGAGCTGGTCAATATTCCATATTCTCTTTATACTCGTCAAGTGATGAATAGGATGTTCATGCTTTCTTTATTCAACTGATGTACGACTGCAAATATCTTATGCTCCTTTGTTTTTCCACTACAGTTTACGTAGGGTATAATGTATGATTTATTTCCTTCAATGTATATTCTTCAAACTCATTAATAAAATAATTAATCAGGTTATCACAAAGGAAACCATGACCTGGTCTTAGGTATCCAAAAAAATTGACTAGTATACACAAAATTTATGCTAATAATTTTGTACATAAATTTTTAATGACTGATTTCATTTCTCCGTTTACTCCTTAGTTTTTTTTCATTATAATTATTATTTGAAAAGATAAATCAAAACACTTGAGACAGTATTTCATCTGATTTCCAAACACCTCAAATTTCATCAAAAATACTCCACTACACATCGTATTTTCAACATTCTTCTCAGTGTTTGGAAATCAGATGAAACACGAGAGAACACGCAAAGACCTCTTTAAAATGGAGTAATTTGCTATAAACCCATGAAAATATGTTCAACTTGATTTCTAAATATAAGCAGTGTGAAGGTAACCTTTTGGGAACAAATTATTACAGTAACTATAAAGTGAAAGCAGTCTACCATGTTTTACCAGCACAGCAACCAAATGGGATGTGGGAAAATGCAAGGAGAGTTTGGTATTTGATTTAAAAATCTTTTTTACCACAATTTTCATGTGGTTTACTGGGCAGGTGTATACTAGTCAAAATACCCCTACCACGGAAGGTTTTTGGTTGGATCAGAATTTTATGACTTTTCAGATTCTTTCTCTTTTTAAGCCCCCTCTCTCTAATAAGCGCTCCTCCCTGAGGGGATACTCCGGATTTAAAGTGACAGGGAGGTGTGAAGGACTTTTTGGGGTATTAAAGAAAATGGGAAGATTTGTTACTGTAATATTGTTACCATAGTTACATGAACATTTAATTTGTATTGTTTGTTCTTCGTTATTATCATGCATTTGATCATGATATGAAATTGCGCTATATAAATTTTAATTATTATTATTATTATTATTATCATTAATCCCTTCTCAGTTCTGGGAGTGGGTATTTTTAAGGTTCGAAACTTCAGCATGGGATTTTGGTTCAAGGGGTTTTGCTTCAATCCCTAGGGATTTTTTTAGGTTTTGATTTACGTCCCCATTTGCACCTCCCCCTCACTTTAAATCCGGAGTACCCCCTGGACTTCAAACTCCATTTCAAGATGGTAAACCAAGACCATTACGAAATGAAAAACAATAAAATTTATTTGAGGTAACTGTATATTTTCAGAGATTAGTATCTAGAACACTCTGACTAATCTAACTTCAGTCTAGATTTCATTGTGCTTATGGTAACCAAATGTTTATTGTTTAGGAACATTTTTGAAACAAAGATTTTAAAAACTAATTCAAAGTAAAGAAAACACATTAATTAAATTTCTGAAAATTTCATTACCTAAACTATATAGAAATGACATATGAACAAGTCATGTACATGTATATCGCAACTACAGCAATCTTACAGCTTCATACACATTAGAAAGGTTTCTTCATAACTGTGAGTCCCTACCTGTTATTGCCAGAGATAGTTGTCTGCAAATACCTACCTACACTGTATACCTACCCTAACAAAATAACTCAAATTTGTATATACCTTTTTGCCAGTTTACAAATTTTGCAATGTAACTGTTCAGTGAACAAGTATTTGGCTGACACTACTCGCTATAGGCTCGAATTACGCCACTCTCTTGAGTCCGGTCTTCGTTCCTCCTCAAGAAGAGACATGTCGCCTGGTCGATTCGGGCAGGCACGTTTCTCGTTGGTGGAGTACGTATACAGTACCTAGAACATGTGTCCAGCCATGCCTTCGGGGGAAGAAAATGGGCTTGTGTTACCAAACAGCGGCTGGTAATCGAGCCTATATTCACTGTGAAACGGTCACTTCTCTTTTGTTGACTAATAGATGTTTTGAATCTTGAGCTGAGTTCACTGTTTCAGCTATTATCCATTAAGAAACGTGCTTGTAGTGTTTACTCAGCTTCTTGACACTGATATATTAAAATGGCTGTACAATGCTGTCATATGTTTCACCTTGTATCAGCTGTCACTTCTCCAAGTTACTTCAACTTCATCTGTTCTATATCTGCCATGTTAAAGAATTAATAAAACCGCTTTAACATAGACTCTTAAAAGGGTTTTCACCAACATACATGTACAACCTTATAGTCAAACCAGCTGAAGCGTTCTGCCTAAATAATGACCAAAGCAATATTGCATTAATGAAAGCATTGGTAATTATTTAAGCAGAAGTCGCTTCAGCTGTTTTTGACTGTAACACCTTTCACTTCTAAGAGTTCCAACGTACACTGTACATTTTATTTACTGTTTGGTAGCATTCATTTTATGAATGGTTAAACTTATTCATTCCACTACTAGATAGAAGATTAACCTGAGCAAACAGACGTTTCTCTTCAAAACACTCAATTCTTCCTGTACTAAGCAGACACCTAAGATTCGACTTGAAAAATTCCATACTGATGACGTAGCTCTACAGAGATCTGTATAGTGTATTAGATCGGCTGTTCCTCAGTTTTGAATTTCCGTGTGCAAGAAATAACCAATCCGAGACAAACATGGATCTCAGTAAGGAATTTTTCGGATGGAATCTCAGAAGTGTGACATGAGGGCGGCAAGAAATCTGAGTGTGCTAAGTTAACAGGAGTCTTCAATAAATAAGCTAAATTGTATTAGTAAAACTCCACTAGTGTACTAATGCAAATGAGACAATCTGATTGGCTGAGCTACTCGTACACTATCAGCCATTAGTGTGCAGTGGCTGGAGGTCGTCTACAAAATTGCGGTTTCTTCTCGTTTCTCCGAAGTTTCGGAAGAAGATTTAGAGTTAATGCTAGACAATTGTTATGATTTTTACTAAAACAATTGAAGGGCGTGGTGGAAAAACAGCATTACGACAATAGAATTATATTGTCGTAATTCTGTTTTTCCACCACGTCCTTCAATTAGATTATGAGCTCGAGATTTCTATGATGTGATAGTTGATGAGGCTGTAGGCCGAATCAACTATCACATCATAGAAATTGAGAGCGAATAATCTAATAAATAAAATTATTGTTAAGTAGTGCTTGCTACCAGCTGGTCTTTTACATCAACTGGGTTTTATGGGTTTCACACCATCTTTGCCATTGTGCACAAAATCTTGCGATCTCTTTGCGAGTTTGGTATTTTTTTCATAGGAAAGAATCAATTTTGTTTGTTTGTTTGCTTTTTAATTGGATAAAGTGTGTGAAACAGCTCTTGTTGATCTGCATGTATGAAATATGTAGCGTTGCAGTGTTAGTACCTCTGTGTGCAAGTGGATTCCTCCAGGGGGGTGACACACCCTGATCGGAACATTTCCCAGCCAGCTTGTGCTATCATTGCCCCATTGTCTATACAAAATCTGGGGATAAAAAATGTCTGGTTAAAATTGATCCACTCTCAAACAAAACAAAAGCAATAAACATTTAGCAATAGCTGTCTGTAACAACTGCATGACTGTGCTAGGGTGGACACCAGAGAGTTGAAGGCTGAGAGGGAGACTGAAGATGACTTGGAGAAGGACCGTCGTGAACGAGTGGAACATGGTAGGGTGGATGAGCTGGAATGTGGCCAAAGTGGCGGCACAGAACAGGGCGGGTTGGTCAGACAGCGTGACAGCCTTTTGTGCCTTCTGGTGAGGGAGAGAAACCTTAAGCCGACAGCTGTCAGTGTGTCAATTTTTATTGACAACTTATCTTATCGTGTACATAATCCAAGACATTACCTTTCATCAGTAGCATAAAGTTTGGCTCCCCTCTCTTTAGCCATAACACCTGAAGCATCCAACAAGATAAAACATTTACAACAATTTAATTCTACATAGTTGGCAATAATAATATATATAATCAATATAAATTCCTGATTACAATGCCAAAACATTGTAAAACAAATAGGTGATAAGAATATGAAAGAAATAATCAAGTAAGAGATTTATAACTATCCAAAGCATGACTTGAAAACTTTTCTGCATGATCTGTTTAATCGGTAAGGGGAATTAACATTCATACATTGATAATCATGTCAAACTTGTGTATATGTTTTAAGGATGCATAATACGCCAAATAAGTTAGACATATGAATTAAACTGACCATCTGTATATTAATAATATTACATAAAACCCAAATAATGTTTTGAAACACAAAGAGAATGCAGCTGTTAGAGCACCTTTCGCTGGGATTATCTGACCAAGGTACACACCATATCTTATTTAATATGACATACAGAAAAACTGTCAAAAATACAAAATACTTGCTGCTGTTCAAACTGTTGTGCTTACCCATCATTTCTTGTAATCTCTTATTGCCTATTACAAACAGAATAAAACAAATGTATGATAAAAAAATTATTCTTCATTTTGGTAACAATATTTTAAAATTGTGGGATGGCATCACTTTTTTATGTAAACAATATTAATTTTGATCTCAACATTTGCTCTAAGAGCATCAGGTGCTCATTGAAAGAGCTTATGTCGTTACATAATCATTTTTAAAATACACCACTTAATTACAAGCTTCTTTTAATGAGATTTGTATTGTTTGATAAAGTTCTCTAGAGCCTGAGTGACACACTAGGTGATTTTATTGCTCATTATGGCGATTGACGAAAATCGCCAGGTGTGCTCACTACTGTGATGGCAATTTTCACAAGCGATTCAAAATTGCCTTAGTGTTGCTGGCTTCAAACCTTGTGGAACCAGCCATTTCACCAATATTAAGATACTGAGTGAACTTTGTCAGGTACACAATGAACATCAGAATTACGTGACTTTTTGTAAGCAAGTTGCACTGTGTTTATAAAACTGGAAATGCTTATAGCAACCGTGCATTGACAAAGAAGGTTATGAACTCAAAACCATGGGAATTTT